CATTTAATAAATAAAACTTGATTATTATCTTATTACAATTCTGCTTGTCCATCCCTTATTGTCGTAAAATTCACCATGAGCTACTTCGATCATTAACTTAAGAATTCAAATTTGTTATGAAAATTCAGATAGGAAAACCACGAAATTTTATAGATATTTCCAATTATTATTATTAGATTTACATTATTGCATGAAATGATTATGAAGATAATTTATTAAAACTCGTCACCTTTAATGGAAGTAAAGATGAGACAGTTGAAATAAGTATGAATTGAAAACGAGGCAAAAATTTTGCCCAAATTTCAATCTTATGAATCTAAAGAAATTGAGAAAATTGTTCAAAAAAAGAAAAAAAAAGGAGGAAAAAACGTACATTTACATGAGAATTAATCTTTTTATTAACAGAGACAGGGAGACAGTTGTGAAATTTATATGAGGATTTGTGTAACAGATGAATTAGTAATGCAAGAAGTTGATAGCGTATATTAAATCATGAATAATACATTCAGTATAAAATTGATTGAACAGAAAAAAATGAATTCTATATATGTTTAAGGAATTTAATCTTGTTTGTAATTTAGATTTAATTAAACTCACCGAAGACGTAGAGGCCTTGCAAATTTATCATGTTTATTTCAAAAAACTGCTATACCAATTAATAACAGACAACAATTACAGTCATTTTTTCTAATAAAAATAACACCATATATACATCACTATATATATATATATGTGTGTGTGTGTGTATGTGTGTGTGTGTGTGTGCGCGTGTGTGTCTGTGTGTGGCTAAGTCCCAGTCAAAATACATTTCTAAAGAAAATTCACATATTCTAGGCTTAAACAGAAATTTAGACGTATTCAATAAATACAGTTTTAACGAAAAGCCATTTAGAAACCCTGTACAATCATAATCGTGATAAACAATTAGCCGGAAACTATTAGATCTATTCAATAATGTAACACGCGCGGAAACTTTCTCCAGAATAAAATGTACCACTTAATTTTTTTATTTCTCGTCTTGTCATGAAGGACCATGTAGTTAATATATTTTATCTATGTTTTTAACTCATATGAAAATATCGTCTACATACGTTTGATAGATGGAGGCTTTTTTTTTAGTGGGATTAAAATTTCTAACCAAACTTATGCCATTCGTTATATTCTATGTGTGTGTGTGTGTGTGTGTGTGTGTGTGTAAGCTATTTCATAGAACTGTGTAGGGACTATCCTCACCTATTATTATAAAATCTAAGGTGTATGTATATATATATATATATATATATATATATATACTACTAAAAAAATCTACTAAAAAATTTGTAAGTTTATCAAAACAAAACACGTTTATCACAACAACACACACACACACATATATATATATATATATATATATATATATATATATATATATATCAGTGAAATAAATCCTAAATACAACAACATTGATAAACTCACCTAAATTGTCATCAGAGTAAGCTGTTTTTAAACTTACAAATTGTATAAGTTTTTTCTATATATAATATATATATATATATATATATATATATATATATATATATATATATATATACTATTTCAGGCGTTATTTTGCAATATTAAACTTTTAACAACCAAAATGATTTTATTTAGGTGAAATTTTACTAATGAAGTATTTACCGACTGGAATAAAATTTGAGAATAGTGATCGATGATGCGAAACAGTCATGTATTTCTAGAGAAAACATTAATGAAAAAATAAACTAACCTCTTTTCTGATGAAAAGTCATGACGTACTAAAATATAGTCTGCATACAAACATTGCATGCACAGGTATACAGTCGCATAGATTGTTCAACTGTCCAACTCTCTGCCTCGGCAGAAAGGTACTCGGACGAAGGTTTGCCGCTGGGCAAAGTTTCGTCCGGGGAGGTAGACAGTCCCTGAACCCCGTTAGGCGTGTTCAAAGGTAATATTTTTGGCCGAGCTTACGTGCTCGGAGAAACCCACGTTAAACTCGGCCTTGTGCCACATACATTCCTTGGGGGGGACTGTTAAATATAATAGGTATACGACTGCCACTCCTTATTTTTTCAGAATTGAAGTGTAATTATAAAAATTGTTCTGTCTGTCTTGTTGTGTGTCTGAAATCCCTCTAAGTCGTGCCAATCTTGCTCTACATAGACACATTATACTTTTTTGGAATCAGGATAACCCGTATTTGAAAATATGTCCTCATCTGGTGGTTTGAATATCAGACACTGGGATTTTTTGTGCAGGTGAGGAAGTTACATTTAAAATTCAAATTTTAAAATAACTGAAAAAATTAGTCATTGTAAGTTTTTAAATTATGTTGAGTTTAAAGTAACAAAAAACCTTTGTGAATTTAAAATCTTTTCTTTTGAATTCAGTTTAAAATATCTTCAACACTTTGTGAATTTAGGAAATCAATTTTGTTTCTTCAAAATACCAAGGAATCAAATTTAGAGTGAGAAATTTCGTGACGTGAAGTTTTGATATTCCACAGGGTTTGTGATTTGAAGAACGCAACTCAATTGAAGATCCACAGAGTTTGTGATTTGAAGAACTCAGTTTTCCGTCTGAATTGGATTTTCGGCCCAAATCATAATTTTGGTCCAAATCGGACTTTCAGTTCAAATCGGTCTTTAAAGTTAAAGTGAGAATTGGAAGAATTCAATGTTATTTCTTCAAAATTATCATTGTTTCGTTTCTAAGCCAGGCCAGAGTTTATATGTACAGATATTTCAAATTTCCTCTGGTTCAATCGCTTAAATAACGAGCCACTTGATAAATGATATTGTCTCAGTTTGGGGTATTAGCGTTGACAAGTTGGCTATTAGGTTTTCTCTCAATGGCGTTTGTGGTTGCTGCTAATACCTGAATGAAGAGATTAATAATAAAGAATAGCCGCAAAGAAGACGTATTTATTTGGGCCAGTCTACATAATGAATGAATTAGTTTCATTACGTGTAACGAATAAATTAGTTTACTTTACCACCCAAAAATTGAATATGAAACTAACATGCGTTCTGTCCATCTCGTGATAAAATTCTGATCTTCTCTGTGATGGTCGCTGACTGACTAACATGTTAACAGTGAAAAAATAAATAAAGGCGTCGGGATCTGATTTCACTTCCTAGTGGGAGCGTACAGTTAGCAAATCCTACGTTGGTTTCTTAACTGGTTGATTTTGACGTCAACCAGTTTCGTGTACCTTTATTTTTGTGGTGTGTCTCCTGACGGGTTTTGCTACTTTCTTCACTATAATATTAAATTATAGAAATATGAATTTACAGAAAGGAATAGATTTTCATGCCTTTTAAGAGGGATATATTTAATTAACCCTACATACAGGTAGAACTTTCTAGCTAACAAGCCCGAAAGAAGGAAGGTCAAAAAAGCTATGTGTATATGTAATATCTGTACAGTCACTTAACTTTACTTGTCTACTCCTATTTCTTTACTAAAATAATAAGATGGTTTGAAATCATCTTTTCTTCAAGCAAAGTTTCTTACGAATATTTAGAAAATGTTCATAAAAGCTTTATGCATTTAAAATACAATAAAAAATTTCCGAAAAATTAAAGGTTTGTGTTAAAAATACTGGTACTTAGAAATACGTGATAAAACTAAGGTCGCACAAGGGAGATAATCAACTTCCGGTTGTCAAACTGCTGGATGCGACAGGTACACATATAATTACTTAAGGCCTGCCTCGTGGCTGAAATAATTTATCTTGTGCCAGTAATCAGACTAAATAAAAGTTTTAGAAACCTATCTAGTTTTTCTGTTCGTGGGATGAATATTTAGCTAGTTTAAATAATTATTACTAATAATTAACGATTATTTATAATAATTAATCTTTGAATAATTATAGCAGCTGTTTTTTTAATATCTTACACTTGATAAAACACAACTATTTCAGGTGGATTTGTAGTGTTCCTTACTGCATGATGTGTGCACGCTGTGTTTATGTGTGTATTGGTGCCTGCAAAGAGTTTTTCTTTTCTTTTAAGAGAATTAATATACTTCATTTACATTTAAGCAATTATTTTTTACATTTTTTTATAGAAATTCTATTTTAATTAACGTCTGCAGTTTTCAATTCATTTTGTTTATTCACCTCTTTTCCTTGTGTTCTCATCAATTTGAAGAACGTAAATTGAATGGAAATAAATGCACGTTTTGACCTGGAAAAGAAATGAAAGTATGTGTGCGCCAGAGCACAGACGTAGACTCCGCATCTCTCTACCCACTCTACTAATATTGGCATTCTTGTAACTCTGCGTAAAAGATCAGTCAAAATTAATCATAATTGACAATACTTCGTCCAAGAATTTTGAAGCCTATTACATCTACTACAACTAGTGCAAAACAAAGATCAATAAAATCATAGCGTTGTAGGGAAAATCAGAAAAGAATGCAGTTATATGGTTAAATTTAGTGACACCTACATATTTTCATGACCGAATTGATTAAGAGCTGTTACGGTAAGGCATGAAAGGATAAAAAATGTATGTAAAAATCTTGCCAAAGATTTAATTCCTGATTCAAGTTGTTTATTTTAACGGTCGTAGAATAATAATCTGGGAGTTGCCATATAAATCAACGAGAAACAATATTACCAAAACATACATTAAATATTAATAGAATAAAACGTGCGTTTGCATTTAAAAATTATAAATATATATATATAATTTTTGTCTGTAAACGCATATATTTTTTCTATTAATATTTATTCTATATTTTGAGTTAGAATTAATTATAGGGAATTATACATATATATATATATATATATATATATATATATATATATATATATAATACAATAGGAATTAAGATTAAATTAGGTTAATGATCATTTTCACCTTGTAAATTGAAATAAAATTTACAAGGATTTTTCAAACCAGTCAATAATAAATTATTGAAATAAAATTTTAATTCAATAATTTATCATACCTTGACTGGTTTGAAAATAGATATTTATGTGGAAATTTCAAGACCTACGACCATATCACCTTAAAACTCCAGTTCTCATACGATCACAGAAGTTAAGTAAGGTTGATTCTGTTCAGTATTTAGATGGGTGATCTCTTGAAAATATCACGTGCGGTAAGCTTGAAGATGCGGGTTGGGCAATGAATAACAAATTGGAAGTCGGTTCCCTGATTACCAATCCCAGACGGGTTCGTTTGATTCATTTATGCACAAATAGCCTTGGAAAATGTATGATCAAGCACTTATCTTCCCAGCTATGGGTTAATTAGTTCGATTTGTAATAGTAAATCATTATTATCTACCGAAAGTTATTCCAATCTAAAAACATTTTAAATGATTAATTTAGACGTCAAAATAAAGCTTGGTTTAAATTTTTAGGTAGTTTCAACATGTGTCAGTAAAGTTATTGGATTTATTATAAAAACTAGAATAAATAGCAAATATGTTAAGCCTTTGAAACATTTTCATCATAATATAGTGACCCTTCTTCTAAATAACATCCAGCTATCTATTAAGTGATTTCGTTAATTCTATTTTTTTTTTTTTTACTTCAGTAGAACCAGTTTCCGACATGGTAGTTTTAATTGTCTCCCATAGGTTTACTTTCTTCTCATATTGTATGCCAACTTTATATAAATTCATCTTCAAAATTGACCATAGATTTTCGATCGGATTCAGATCGGGACTTGACGGTGGTCATTCCATTAACTTCTTTCCTGTAAACTGTTTCGCTCCAAATATTCATGGGTAACCTTAGACACATAAGAAGTGGCATTGCCGTGCATAAATACACACTTGACATTGAAACTGCGAGGCGCCATGGGTGTGACGATAAACAACATCCGCGTCCTGGGTAAGACGATAAAATACCTCCGACAGCAAGGTTTCTGATCAGAAGGTTTTGAGGAGCGTGAAGCCACCTTTTAATTCCTGGTGTTCTCAGCTTCACCCTGACCAGGGATGGTAGCACCTGTTAGCGTCCCAGCTATGGGTAAAAAGTTAACCCCCAAACTGGGGTCAAAACACTATGTAAGTGTAAAAATAGGTTTTAATACCAGAAATACTTTGTAAAAAAATTATTACCAGCAATAAACTTTTGAAGAAAAATTGTTACCAGCAATATATTTTTGAAAAAAAAAATATTTTAGCCCATTTTGATGCTTTTAAATATTTGCTGTACTGAGAGGAGTTTGCCTGAGATATTACTTATCAGATCCCAGTTTGAAAAGTATTCTACACCTTGTGTCTTTCTTGATTCCTTCAATTCGAGATTCTTCAAAGATCTGAGCATTGGTTAAAAGTGGTTGTTTTACTATAACTCGCTTTCGTTTACAAAAACTTTAAGAACACAAGTTTTTAAAGTTATTTCCTTTACATATAGTTCTCAATACCTATATTTTAAATAAGTTTATTTTTTCATTAATATTGCTGTATAAATTCATGACTGTTTCGCATTGGCGATCAAAAATTTTATTCCAGTCAGTAAATTCTTTTTTTTTAGTAAAATTTCACTAATACAGTGTTCAAGAGTTGCTCATGATAGAAGATTACTCAGTGATCTAGATTACTCAGTTTGGACGTAAGAGCAGGATGTGAGTGCAGATTATGAGCCTATGTAAGACATATATATATATATATATATATATATATATATATATAACACGATTGACGCTAGACTTGAGGATACTAAGATTGTCACAATCAATTTCTATGGTTTACAATTCTGAATTCTCCGCTTAGATTCGCTCACACCCAAGGCTGGAGAGCCCAGTCTACCCTGCTACTTAGCCTATAGAGGAAGAAGAAAATGATTCATGCTTTCGCAATTTCGTTGTGCGAAGTGAATGAAACTGACAAGGTTGTAGCTTGAACTCAGATCGCCGATTCCACATCAATAGGTGTTACGTCACGTGTACACTGTTTTAAATATGTGTACTAATTTATTATTTGTGTAGTAAATTTTATCTTGCCTTTTATTTCCCGCCACAAATTTGTTCAGTCTTGGAAGCAATCCTTTTTCTAATATACTTTGTTACCCCTTCACATTAATGAACGTTTTACATTGTACAAATTTGGCAAAACCTCACGCAGAAAAAAATGCCTTCATTCAATAATTTCACATTCCTGTTAAACTGTTGCAGACAGGCGTTCTGGTTTGAATCTTTCACCTGGACTTCGGAAATAAACATCAAATGCATCGGTAGACAGCTCAATGCGTGGCACGTCACTCCAGAAAACGCTAGGTGCATTCGAATAGCGAATGGGTTTTCCAGAATCTAAGCTAAGTATTAAGACTCGGGGATAATTCGATTGATGCCTAAGAGAACAGTACTGAACCAGTATGTCATATATATCCTCCTGTGTAATAGTGAATAGTGAGCAATTTCTTTAGAGATGAAGAAGAGACACGAAGCTACAGTGATATCGTTCTAAACATGGATGAAGTAAGTTCTAAAGAAATTGAAAGACAAAAAACACTCACATTTCAAATTAGAAAAAAAATGAAATTTCTGGGACGATAAGGAAAGACGTTTTGGAAATTTTAATACGCACAAGACGTATTGAATGGAAATGGATAAATAGAAAAAGCGAGCAACTTACCTAATGTTTGTGTGAATGGATCCCAGAACAGGGGCAAGAAGGGATGTTAAAGAGTAACGTGTTTCTCAAAGCAACAAGGGATAGGAAGCTGTGGAGAGCCATGATCGCTAATGCATTAAGGGAGACAGGAAATAAATGACGAGGATCATGATGGTGATAAAAAGACAAGAATTTGCTTCGGTCTGCTGAGTACTTTGTGGAAACAACGGCTTCTCTGAATGCGGTTTCTATAAAAAAAAAGCATTTTGTATTTGTTCTTGCAATGAGATGTCTTCTTTTATAATTTCGATAATTTCTTGGAGTGCTTTTTGTATATACGTTTAATATGAAGCCAAATTTTACGTAGGAGGAAATCTAAATTTGACCAACTGTAAAGTAATTAGGTACGACTGAATAGTGAAAATAATGATAATAAAATTGCCTCCGTTTCAAATTCTTTCCAACAGAAATAAAACATTATTACTGATGTTCATAGTAATAATAACCGCTTCCTTACAAAGAAAACATTCAACATTCATTGATCGAGGAGGTAGAACTACAGTTGGAAATTTATAAAATCTTTTATTAAAACAAATTAAAAAAAAATAGATCATTCGAGTCCAGTAGCTGCTATCGCTATTTTCCGTATTGGTGAAGACACCTTCCTAAAATTTAGGTTGAATTAGTATGCGATATCAACATATTGTCATTATTTTCTCTTCGACATGCATGTGCTATCCATTTTAATTATTGTTGTTGTAGAAAGTCTTCAGGTGATATGGTTTCTGTTAATTATAGTTTTTTTCTCGTCCGCACAGAGTTTACAGTTTTTGAATTCATTGTTGTAGGCTGGTGCCGTTTTCTTTAATTTCCCTGGTATTTATGGTTTGATTTCGTTTTTAATTTATAATTACCTATATTTACCTTCCCAGACCGAGACAGATTGCGAAATAAACGATCCGAGCTCATCTCAAAAAACAAACACGAAAACAAATTTTTACTAAATTACTTTAAAATCGAAAATTGAAAATGAACAAAAATAATTAAATAAATATAATACAAATAAATAGGTAAAATAAATTAACACAAACCAATAAATAAATAACCCAAATAAAAAGAACACACACATAAATACAAGTAAATGTAATAATAATGATCAGCAACAAATAATGAGTAGAAAAGTTAGGAAATAAGATTATAAAATAGCAAAAAAACTGTATTCGGATCTACCGTGATTTTCCTCCAATAGCCCTTAGAATAATTCGAAACATAGCAGTTATCACCCGTCCAAATAACAGTTAGAATAATACCATAGACCTACCCATAATGCACCACTCTCCAGCATATATAAATAGTCGAGCTAAAACAACGCACAGAAATCACGATTGCGATTGAGCATGAAACTGACTATCACAACTAGATGCTGAATTCAATGTCCACTTTTTTATTTACATACGCTCTATCCCTGATACTGAGCCCATTAACATATAAATATAGCATACCTTATATATATATATATATATATATATATATATATATATATATATATATTTTTTTTAAAGGATTTCGGATCATCAGGTAACACTTCCAACAATGAAATCAATGATTACCTGATGGATTTTGGTGAAATAAATTATTGTAATGGTACCTTAAAGTGGTCTGTTTTTCATTAAATATTAGCTCTGTTCTTCACATTGAGCTCTCTGGATTTCATCCTCCTTGGATTTACAAATTCGGTTTACCAAGTTCTTCATAACTTATATATATATATATATATATATATATTAGTGTTATGTCAAGTGATTGAAGCTCATTATTAGGATTAATAATTTCACACGCACTGAAGAAAAATATCAGTCTCTTGAAAGAATATCTGTGATAAATATCACTTTAAAACTTTTGTTTAAAGGAAATGAATAGAACTTAACTAGACGCACACTTGGCGTTATTGTGGATCAATGTCATGTCAAGAAAGAATGGACGCTGATGAAGGTGATGATCAGTTAATTTTCTGTTTAAATGCCGCCGAAAGGAAATGGAAGATTGAAATGTTAAATCATGTGAAGATTTACCATGCAATGACAATGGAGATGATTGCAACGCAAGTAGCGACAAAATCAATAGAGGAAATAGTTTAAACTCTGTGGAAACTGCGAAGAATTGCTGATACATCTTGGTTTGTATTTAATGTTTCTTGTCTGTATTGTGATTGTGGTTAGACAAGTAGACAGTGTATTTACCACGTAGTTGTAGAAAATTATGGTGTAATTTCAGTAAATAACTAGATATAAGATTACATTTATTGCAATAAGCAACAATGGCTAAAAGAAAATGAGATATTTGTATTTAGATTCTAGTTACAGAATATCGCAACGCACGCATGCGCAGACGCACACATATAATTGTTTCTTTTCCTTCATCGATTAAAGCTGTGAAATATTTTTTAATAACAAACACTATGGATGGTCTTCGTTTTAATGAATTCTTAAATTTAAAATTTGGCATTGAATTTTTTGTGTGTTATTGTGACTTGATAGAC